TGCTGTCTTTATCACTCATCAGCATACGACATTCCTACTGGGTGAATGAGCTGTAAGGCCAGACACACACAAAAATCACAGACCACACTGAAGTTCAAGTGTTGAGTAATTGGAAATGTATGGCTACTTTCCTTTTTCCTGCTATTGCAGATTAAGTGATAACTATTTTTGCTCCCCCTGCCATTATTGTTCAGTAGGTGTAGGCATGCTTCTGGCTCCTTCAATTAAGAGAGAGAGTAGTTAGTGGAAACATTTAATTCAAAAAGTAAGAGACCAAAAGAAAATATTTTCTGTGATTCCACAAGGGAAATTCATTATTTATACCCACCTTGTGGCCACAATTGGCACTAATCAACAATGTAAATAAGCTAATGTATGCTAACAATTTCACCATATTAACATAAAAGATGATGATATGCCAATGTTGTGTTCACAACTTGTCCCCAAATGGCCAAAAGAAAAACAAAATATCAGCTATGACAAGTTAAGTAACCAATACCATGATGTAAAATAGTTAATCATAAGTAAAAGTCCTAGATTCAAGCTCAACTTAAGTACAAAAGGACCATCAGCACAATGTACTTGAAGTATCTGAAGTAGTAGTAAAAGTAAGTTAAAACACCTGTAACTAACCATTTGGATTTATACAATAAAATCCACTATGCACAAATTTGTTTTTTGACTTTTCTCTAATCTCGCTTTCTCTGAAAAGTTGGATAAGTTTACCTCTTTGAGCCTCAAAACAGTTACTTGAATGAAAACCTTTTAGTTTAGAGGGGGATTTATTGTAGACCTGATAAAAATTCAATACCTTTTAAGACCCTTTCAACATAATTTAAGACTGCCTAGCCACTTTGAGCTGTAACCGGTTAAGTCAGCCTCACACCTTTAAAAGGGGAATTGTGGAGTTTTTAAAAGGAATTTAAAGATATTTATAACATTTCATTGCCTATATGTGACCAGGCTGTAACCTCACTAAAAACTGCAATAAATATGGTGGTGTAAAAAATGTTTTTACACCACCATATAAAATATTTTCCTCTGAAATGTAGTGGAGTAGAAGTAATTTCAGTAAATGTACTACTGGAACTACTTTCCACTACTGCTTAGTAACAACCACAAGGCTTCGATTTTCACCTTCTGAGAGAACAAATTATGTGGCCTGCCACATATCACACCTGAACTTATCATTAGCCTACATGGCAGCACATGTGGTACTTTGTAAGGCCTTTGACCCCAGTTTTGTTTTTGTATAATTACAGTAAATACCACAGGATACGAGAGGAAGATACACTTTGATTTGGCTATTATACTTGCCGTGCTTTTATCCCTCAGTGGGTGTGCCACCATGCCATTAACAGTTTAAATGATTTTTAGAAATTCAAAGATCTGCCCTGACTGCACTGAAAAAAATCCCTATCATATTTAAGTGAAAATATTTTATTTATTCTTTTGCTTGAAAGAAGTTTGGATGCCAGTACTGTAAGGCATTTTCACTTGATAAGATTTCTTATAGCTGAGGTAGGCAATTTATTTTAGAAGCTTTTATATTACATTTGTTGAAATTTTCTTTACATCCTGACAGCTATCAATAAATTAAATTCCCTGACAAAAAAATGAAAACATCAGGTGCAATGATTTCATTTGCCTGTCTACCTACTTACTGGTCTAACTGCGTGCACTCTGCCTGCGCCAAATATTTTGCCAAGTATAAGATGGATCGCCATGGAATTTAGTACATATATGGTACCTACAGTGTGAATCCTAATGACTGTAGTGATCCCCTGACTTTTCCCCTAGTTATCACTTGTCTAGTAAATTATCTTAACACCTAACGGGTAAGTTTTTTTTTACTGGGACAAAATTTGGTACAGACATCTCACTGATTTTGGTTATCTCCTGACTTTTCATCTAGCACCACCATCTGGTCAAAATTCCAATTTGAAAGTACTAATTTGAACCATCATCACATCAAACTTTAAAGATTTTGTTACCAAATGCTTGCAAAAATAATGAAAACAACAAGAGAAATAGTCAAACAGTGTAAATTTCATAAATATTTATTACATATCAATGAACATAATCGACTACTTTCACAGCAGTGGTCTACAGCACTTGTTTAAAATAATTGCTCAAATAATAATAATAGTAATAATAATAATAATAATATAGTTCAGTTTATTTTGAGGCCACATTTGATACACAAACATTTACAAGTAGTACTTGGCATTAAAAACGATGGCGATACAATATTTTAAGACACTTGGTGTTTTTTTTGTTAATTTTCTTTCATTTTGATATCACAGAGAGGTTCAGCAACAGTCTAAACAGTAAATATAGATTCAAATACAAAAAAACTAAACAAAACAGAAAAAACCTGTGAAAATGCCAAGGGGAGGTAGGAACAAAGAGTACTCGACAGAAATACAGGAGAAATAGGAACATCATCAAGTGGGAGAAGCAGTGTTACAAACTGTAACTGCCAGGCCATCCACACTCACTCATAATAGTAAACACTAAAGTACCTTTGTAAAAATCCCACCCCCATCCCATTCTTCTTCCCTTTTTAGTTTTCAGAGTTGTGTTGGAAGTGTTAACACTGAGACAGGCAGGTGGGAACAAGGGAAAGGTGTGAGGGGAAAGGAGGAGGAGGCCCATGCAAGATCTGAAGGCTGCTGTGTTGTGAAACCACCACATAGAGGCGCTCTCATACCTACATTCGCATAGTCAGAACCACATCTCCCAGTTTGTTCCCCCTATTATCAGTGGATCCTAAAAGCTTTCTCCTTTGGTTTTACTGACTGTCAGGTGCACATTAATCAGAACATTTTCCCTGTTTCCTGTTGGATTTAGCATTTACACTGGCACACAGGACTGATTTAACTTCCTCAGTGCTCAGTACTAAGAAAAAATATATTTATAGTAGAGAATGCCATTTCTGAAAATATTTGCAGTGGGATTGTTGGCTGCTGAAAAGCTGACACTGAGCTGTATTGCTTAACGAGTAAGCTGGGAGCTGAACAGTATTGCTTGATGGATGGCTGGGAGATAAACTGCATTGCTGGCTTAACTTTATATGAAGGAGCAACTGAAGGAGTATGAATAGTTGGAATAGTAGGAAAGGGATGAAGGGTGCAAAATATAGTAGAAGCAATGAAAGGTGTTGAAATTAGTGTCTAGTGTACTAGAAATATTTAAATTGTTTTCCATGTGTTTTTAATAATTGTTTGTGTGTTACTGTTATCACTGAAACTGTGTTAGTTGTTTTTATACATACAATTTAAAAACATGCATGTATGCATGCATGTGTTTCTTCTACGTATATTTCTACGTATATGTTTGAATTTGAAAAATGATTTGCTTTGTGTGCATGCACGTGTGTCTGTCAGTTATGAAACCACCAACTGCAGTTGCCTGCAGAGGGACTCCTGGGTCAGTCTGGTCACTTTTACTAGAGATTCACATCAGAGGCAGGATGCAATGAAAGTTTAAATAAAGCTACTGTGAGCATCAGAGATCAGAACAGCAGTCTAATAATCCAATCAGGTGTGTGTCCCCCCCACAATGAATAGTTGCCATGGTGATGGTAGCTGCTAAGTGATCCCTGGGTCAAACAGATTATTTAATAGTGATTAAGCCTAGAGGTAACACTCAGACTCCAGCTTAATACTCAAAGACCATAAATCCTATCACCTAGCGTTTTGTACGTGCTGATGTAAAATGTGTGTTTTGATGAAAAATGTATGAACAGTGAAAATTGTGGGAGTAAGAGGAAGTTGAGGAGATATTTTAACAGCTTACCCCACTCTGCGTGCAATGTCACCCACTCTACCTCTGGACATTCTGCCCATTCATCTGACTTGGAAAAATATCCTGAAAAATGTTTTCAGAGAGAACTATCTATTTGAGGCATGCCGTGTTCATGTGATATGGGATGGATGCAAGAGGTGGAAAAGATTCCCATGTTAACAGTTTTTGAAGCGATGAAGTTGGTCATGTGAGGATTCAGATACTGTGCAGTGACAATATAACGATATATCCATACCATTTTTTAGTACAGCTTTTAAAACTTCTTAATAAGTGCCAACTCCAATATATTGGAGTTTACAGAAAAGTTTCCCAGTTGTTAAGTATGACATGGAAGGTGAAATGAACGCAATTTGGGAAACCCATAATTAAGATAACTCCAATATGATATGAATGCAGCATAAAGCTTGATTTACAAACTGGAGGTGTGGGGTTTGAAAGACGTAGACATTAAGAAGGCGGAGGGGGCTAATGAAAGATGCTATCAAGCTGCATTATGAGAAATGTAGGATCCATCATTTTTGGAGCTTCAACCATACTGGAGATTAAAAGACTGAATATCTCAGGGTCTTTTTTCAAGCTGTCTCTTCTGAATTGTCCAAAATAGATTAGTTTGAGTTGACACCGTTAGAGTTTGAAACAGAATTGGGTTCAAAGTCAGGACGTCAAGGACAAACTGTAATTAGCAGGGTTAGGGTTAGTTAAGATCATTCAGCTAAGGACATGTCTGATAATTGATCAGTAAATCAAACTGCATGCAGGAGTGTTTAAAGATGTGTATAGCTGTTTTTCAATGGAGTCATGGTGGTATGAGAATAAAAGAAAATTCCTGGTGAAGTAGCCCATAATTCATAGCTGCACCAGCTGTAAATCAGTCTATTACTGGACATCAGGAATTAAAACCAGCAGGTCTTGTGGGCTCTGAAGACCAGGGTTCTTTATTTTATATTGTTTTCATGGAGTTATTTTAGTTTTTAACATTTTATTTTACAATTCAATTTATTTCTTTACTCTAGGTATTAATTTTAATTGGGTAAGGGGAACAATTTCCTAAAGGTACAACTATTCAAATTGAGAGTATATGTATTTCAAATGGGTTACTGTGCACTATAAATAACACAGTTTTAAAGATTTCCACATTTATGTTTCAATAATCTCTACCTTCCACATACAGAAAAAGACAAAAACTAAAAATATTTCACACTTAAGTTTATTTTAGTGTAATTAGTATTCAAGATAATTTTAGCTCATTTTTTGAAAAAAAAAAAAAAAAAAATCAGCTTTTATCATTTAAGTTTAAGACAATATTATCAAAAATTTGTGGTTTTGTCGATAATTCCCTTGCTGTACCATCTGCTGTACCTCTGGCCATCAAACATGACAGTCTAGTAAAAAAAGGTGTTTGTCCTTTTAACATCAACACTATCTTTCATCTCAGGTTGTGGTTTTCCTTTTGCAGCTATGTTTGGTATGATGTTGTAGACCTTGTGGTTTCCAAAGAAGCATTATTTTTTTGCCACAAACGACAGAGCACCCGTAGCAAAGGCAGGTCATGCAGACTTAAGGTCGGCTCATAAAATGTTGAATGCATGTGGCTTTGAGAGAGTGCCTCCCTTAAGTGAATTTATTCAAAATGGAGTTGAATGGAGCTGTGGGCCAACATTGTAATCTAATGTGGATTACAATCATGGCTGCTACTGTCAGACACCAGAGTATAGTGCTGTTAGAGGTGTAGTTCAGTGGAGGATGCTGGGAAATGGCACTTGTGGGAGACTTCCAGCCTCCAGCCCTGTCTACCTGTATACTGTGAATAGGGAGAGGAATAAGGACTAATATGTGCAGAGAGCATAAAACATCATACTTTTACTAAATCTGGGAATAAAATTAATTTTTATAATATATCTATAAATATGCATCACAGGCAAGACAGGCATACACGCCCATCACCGTGTATGCATTTTCATGTATAAACAGATGTACACATACATATGCATATCATACAGCAATTCAAAGTGGGTTGGAAATAATCACATAATATACAACACATATTAAGCTCTACCAACTTCAGAGGGCATTGTGAATGAGATTTTTGTCGTGCCTCGTGCGCAGATTTACATTCAGTTTGTGGTTTGGGATCAAACCGTTAACATTATCTCAAGGCTGTTGCAGAACTCTGAATAAACCACGGCATCTTACACAACCTCATGGCCTCTTTGGGTTATTTGCTGCGGGGCAACACAAACACCCAAGACACAGTGGCTGAGGGACTGCTTGTGAAAACAAACACGTACACAGACACATCTTCTAACTCCCACTGCACCCATCTTGTCCAATGAATGGGGAGACCCAAGATACAGGGATATAAACAAACAAACAAAAAAAGACAAGAAAAAACAATTCAACAAACAACAAATTAAAAGCAAACCAACCAAAACTAAATAAAAAAACAATAAAATAATGGTGACAGTACAGGAGTGGGTGGGCAGAGAAGTGCACGATGGGATTGTCTTCACTTTAGGTCCAGGACATCTTCTTCAAAGGATGTGGAGAGGGCGAACGCGCTGGCAAGAGGCGGGCTCTCCGCTCGCAGGACAACCTTCTCTGGCTCGGCCTCCGAACTGGACGAACAATGCAGCTGGACGTCCAGGTCTGTTTCAACAGACTCTGAGGCTAACCTGTTGTGCACAGAAAGATATGACTCGAGCTCATATAATATAACACTATGCAACCGTTAAATGTACAGTGTTGCTGCTGTTGAATCTGTCACTTTCACCTGTCACTGTTTGTTGACGTAAGTGCTCGGGCTTTGGGCTCTTCCTCAGTGTTCTTCTTGCTCATCTTCCTCTGTTTGACTGTACCACTGTCTGACTTTCCACTTGGTTCCTCAGTTAAACCTTCGTTGGTAACAGAAAATGTTATGTTAGAAATAGTTTGACATTTGGGAAATACGCTTATTATTAGCTTAGCTTAGCATAAACTAGAAGCAGATAGAAATAGCTAGCCTGGCACTTTTTCAAAGGTAACAAAATCCCCCTACCATTACCTTTGAAACTCATTATTTAATACGTACGCATACGTAATAAAACAAAAATATTTGGTTTGCGGGGGCTATGTACTGGACTATTTCATGGCTCCACTGCTTCCCAGACAAGATATAGTCAAGCATATACAGGGTATATACAGGAATCCAGGAGTGAAATTCAATACCTTTTAAGAACTTTTCAACATAATTTAAGACTGCCTAGCCACTTTGAGCTGTAACCGGTTAAGTCAGCCTCACACCTTTAAAAGGGGAATTGTGGAGTTTTTAAAAGGAATTTAAAGATATTTATAACATTTCATTGCCTATATGTGACCAGGCTGTAACCTCACCTAAAAATTGAGGCATTCACCAACTTTCTCAGTTGCCTATAACAGCCTGTTTAGGCCTACTGTTTTCTATGTGAAGGACTCGTAGGATTTCCTGCGAAAATCCATTGTCTTACACAGGCTGTGATGTTTATGTGCGCAACATTACTGCAAAACATGTGAAACAGTGTGATTTTGTGTTTTAGTTGGTTCAAACTAGATAACGTTAGCTTGCCTGCAAATGCCGACTAGTTGATAACTACCTGACATAGCTGACATAACTTATTTTCAGTAACAAATATGTAAAGCGTATGCGGTTGGTTGCAATCTGAAACCTTACTGCTAGATGCCACTAAAAACCACACAGCCCACCTTTAACTTACATTTACTATAAATAGATTTTGAGACTTAAAAAGAAAACACTCTTTTTGTGATAACTTTCATCGACTATTGTATCAATACAACATAATTCAAATAGGCCAGAACGGAACAACGGTGAAGAGAATAAACTGAGTGATGGATAACGTTGGTAGAGTAGGCAGTGTAGCACAGACATTTGTGATCAACAGCTGCTGTCTGCATCCTAAAGCTGATTTGTGTAAACTTTAGTAAAACAAGATGTAAAATAGAACAAGGGAACATGCTCTCAGGAGGAGGAGGAGGCTAGAAGCAGCACATATTGGCACAATGGCATCCTGGTTCTGGCTAAATCTTTCCACTACAGTGGCTCGATCCAATTTTAAGTTGGCTACTAACTCATCAATAATAATAACTATTTAGGCAGAACGATTAGTTCATCATTTGGAAAGTTTGCTGTAACGTTAGCACATCAAACTTTAAAAAATACTGCTCCATCTAGGCTGTGATTAATCTGTTCACGAAAAGTGACAATGACGCATCTTGCTCTTGTTTTTGAGTAACAGGGCTGTTCAAACGCTCGTAAATCAGTTTTCCGGTTCGCACGGATCTATTTTTAGGGGCGTATGAGAGTGAAAGGCTTGCACGGTAGATCCTAGATCCCTGCGCCTAACGTCACACAGAATAACAACTCACTATGTTCTGCCTGGCTAGTTATTTTGGCTATGCAATATAAATAAATACGTTCACCCACACTTTTACCATACAAACTCTTTGGACAAAAAGGATGTTCACATTGACAAAAATATCTTCAAAATTTAATACCCTGTTAAATGGACTTTTTAATACTTTTTAGTGGCCTTAATTTTCGCAAAATTGATTTATTACCTTTTAAGACTTTAAGACCCCGCGGACACCTTGATATAACATGTTAGTTAGTATGCTTTGATTGGAGGTGCAGGTAGATGAATTTTGTTGTCTTTAGACAGAGCAGGGCTTGTTGTTTCCCCCTGCTTACAGTCTTTATGCTAAGCTAAGCTAACTGGCTGCTAGCTATAGCATCAAATTTAGCATACAGAATTTATTGATTTTCTTATCTAACTCTTAAACCGTACTTCCCAAAATGTCAAACTATTGCTTTAACGCTGTCATTCATACATTTACATAAAGTAAAAATATTTTTACCGAGCAGCTCCTTCCTTGTGCGGCTGGCTATCTCTTTGATTTCCATACGGGACAGTGAAAGTGAGTGTGTAGCAGAGATGAGGGGAGTTGAGGGCACCATGGTGGGGGCTGGCGTCGTCAGCACCTTGTTGACCATGGGGACTTGAGGGGTCTTTCAATGCTTCGGCCCACCAAGTTACACAGAGGGATCTTGAACATGTGCTTACATGCTGATTCACCTGGGAGGAAACCCAGAGGGCGAGAAAGGCCAAAAAGGGAGAGAGCAGTGGGTAAAAACAGAAATAAGGAAAGAGGCAGGTGACGTGAGAACACATAAAACAAGAAATAAAAAGAGCAAAGATGGGAATACAATGTCAGAAAAGGGACACATATAAAAGGAAGACGGATGAGTGGCAGTTAATAAAAATGTATGAAACTCCTGGCATGAAACACTACAGTGTTTTGCATGTTTTAGCTCATAGCTACAAAAATGCATTTAAATCATACCTTATCTTATTAGACTTTCCACGTAGCCACTAAACATTTAGTCATTATCAATGTATTGTTTTCTTGTCAAAATGACATTACTGTTGCATGGTAATGCAGCTGGGAGTAGTGACTATTTCTCAAACTAGAGCTTTTTTCAATTTCTTGCCAAGAGTCTCATGTCTGAAACATTTTTTTTTATAGTGCAGCGGATGGAACATTTTTTCATCTAAATGGTTAGAGGAGTGTTTGTATTGTTAAATTACCTTCTAGGTATTTCAAATATATCTGGGTATTTGCTTGCAGAGAATAGATCTTAATATTTACAGGACAGACATGTGAATGGTATATATCTTCTCATGCAATCCCTGGCAAAAATGCTAGTATTTTCCAAACGTCGAACTATCCTTTTGAAACCACCCTTGTTGGTGGTGTGTTTATGGACCCTCTTAGATTTGGCTCACTAAAGAATTGCAAACATACTGTAAATGTTGTTGCAAGCAAAATGTGAACTGGTTATTTCACATATTTAAAAAAGAGCCCATAAAATGCACAAATAGGGAATGTCTTCAAAATAGACGCTGATTGCAACAGCATTGTCTTTTAAACTTACATAACAAAATAAAGGTGATAAAGTGTTCATTGGGATGTATAACTAACCTCAACCAAGTTTCAAGCTTATGCAATTGGATTTTCTTTTATCGTAACAAACGGCTGGCTACAATGTAAGAAATGAATCTATATGCTTAATAAAATTGTTACTCTAATGTTGATACATATATATGATTGGTAGTTTAAAATATCCAAAACCTTTTTGTGACTTTATATAAACCCAAAGTCTTTCTCTCTTTCTCACTCACACTCAACCTCAAGTCAGGAGGTTGATGAGCTCATACAATAGAACCAAACCTCCATATTCTATGAAGACACTCTGCAGTGATTAATCGTCCTATTTACTGAAACAAAGTGTGATCTTAAAATTAATCATCGTTACCAAAGACAGCTAATGTAATATAACTGTTCGGTTATAGCCATTTATAGCAGGCCATCTATTATTCAGCAGACTATAAACTCTTAAAGTCTGTTTGGGCCACATTAAATGGATGTTTTTCAAATGGCTCAAGCTGCAGTGTGCCAACGCGCAGTGCCCATTTGTGCCGTCAGGGAGCAGTATTGCAGTTCAGCAGCCACACTCTGCTCCATTGAGGCAGGCCGGTAGTAACATGGATGAGACTGAATTAATGTGGAGGCTATGTTGCACAAAGAGGTCCGTCTCATCTGAAATGTCAGCGGGTGAGAGGTGAGTAAAGAGCCACGGAGAAAAATAGAGGGTCACTGCTGATGTTTGACAGGTACACTGTGTTACTGTTGTTAGAGATCCTCTTTCCTGTACCGAGGCTGTCACACAGCAAAAATTGCAATAAACCAAAATGCGGGGAAGCATGCATGTTATTTGGAATATATAGCCACAGAGGTCAGTATATTCCACGTGCGTTTCTGGACCAGGGGAAGTGTCACACTCCATCACACTGGCAAATGAATTAAATATAGATATTAGGGTTTTCAGCACTAATTTAAGTCAAATTCTCCAGAGCAGAGATCTGCTTTGCTGCAGGTCTGTGCCGTGTGTTTAAGCCAGTGGAGGGAGGTGGCGGCCAGCAGCCACATCAGTAACTAAATCTTGTTCACATTACTGATGCGATTACATCAGATGAAACCCTCCCCAAGGTGCAGATACGGCAGGCGCACAGGCAGTTAGAGGATGGGATTTTTGTCAGCGCCCCTTCCACCTTTCTCCCCCTTGTTCAGCCTCTGCTATAAAGCCCCCCCACCCCTCAGATTGTAACACTGCTGTTTGGACTACTACTATGGATTGAAGAGAGGGCTGACAAAAGTCTCCATGGCGACAGTGCAATCTGTAAATCATGCTGCGGCAGACGTGTCTTCTCCTTCCCTTTTTCCCTTTTCTCCCTCCTTCTCTTCCAACCTCCTGCTTGTACACAACCCCTCCCTTTTTCTCTGGCACTCATGCATACCTTTTCTGCATCTCCTCCTCTGTTTCCCCTCTGTAATTTTAAAACCGCTTCCGCCTTGATCGACGTTATCTCCTCTGCCTCCCCTTTTACTTTGCACTCTATCACCTTTTTCCCCCTCTCACTCTCTCCTCGCACTAATGCTTTAATTAGGTAAGACAGAAGGGGGGATGGGGAAGACATAATGTTCACTTAACATTCAACCAACGTTCAAGTCAACATGCCGCCTTGGAGCAGACAGGGTGATACACCATGGGAGCATGTGCATGTTAGTGGGGCAGCATTATGAGCGTTTTCATGAGCTGAGAACGAGTTGTGGGAGAATCCTGCAGTACCTTCAGCATCCTTAGACATGTACAGGGAAAGCTTGGTACCATATGGGATCCGTATAGAATCTGAACCAGGGATGAAGAAGAGGGTTACACAAACTGAACACACACAGTAACATACATTTGGGCACACACACACACACACGCACACAGTAGGTTCTCTGTGGAGGTGTTCGACTACCAGTGACGCAGAACCATATGCATAATCAGCTAAAACAGGAAAGAAAATGAGAGTCCCTTAGAGAGAACCTGAACCAGCCTAAAAGCATAAAGCTTGTCCACGGCTAATTGCAGCAGCGACAGCCAAACCTTCCTCCCTGTTGCCTTAATGGGACCTGTAAATACACGCCCCCCTCAGGAAAACAGAGAAAGTCTGCCTTGATAGTGCAACAGCAGCCACACAACCACAACATTTTAATAATTGTTTTCCTCAAGCCTTGTCCTTCAAAATTACATGCACGCCTCTGAGGATGACTTTGTGACCCTTTTAAGAACTCGAAAATGAACAACGAAAAGTTTGACATTGCCATAATCCATCAGTGTGTTAGCTCACGCTCAATGACAAACCTGTATGTCATTCAGTTGTGCATCACAAATAAGCCCCATTTTTTGACTCCAAATGGTCAAATACACAATGAAAGATGGAGGAGGGAGTATAAAGTGGGATGGAGGGAGGGGCTCGTATTGATCCTAAATCATTCTTGAAAGCATTCTCGTCCTCTGAGGACACATACTGTGTCCCTTGAATATTGGTGGTGGTGGGAGGTATATGGGTGATTAGTCTGTTCCTTTTTTTGTAATTTGTGGTAAGAATTCAAAGGATGATAACCATGCGTTTGTATGTTTTAGCCCTTTAACCACAAATCAAATTTACATAACTGACAGCCATTTTCCATATCATTCATTTTTAGATTAGATTCCTCCCTTCCTCTTGCAACCACTGGTCTCCATTCATTTAACTATTCAATTTGCAGGAGACATGTAATGCCCTGATTTTTGTCAATGTCATGTTATCATTGCATTAAAGTTAGGTTATATGGATGACTGTTTTGAAAAGTGGTGAGTCGAGGATCTTTTGAAAGGATTAGTCTGGTGATATTCTATATTTTTCTCATTATCAACAAATCTCATGAAAAAAAAAACGATTTTCAATTTTGGGAAAATTACTATATGTGGGTAGGGACCAATGAGGTCGGGGCTATGAGGGCGTGTGAGGGCCATTGTAGATCAAAAAAAATGTACGGAGCCAGGGAAGTTTGGTAATATTTCAAGATTAAAGTGGTAAATTGAATTATTAATCATTAATAATACAAGACAAGAGTCAGTGCAGACATAAGAGAAGAGGTGGAATGTTCAGACACTTAGCAGATATGAGGGACTGCAACAGTCACTTGAAAGCATGTGTCACATGTCATTTATAAATGTCTGCAGTTCTTTATCATATGCTGCTTTTAATAGATTACCTTTAATAACACAAGTATATCTGAAAAATAGTATGATGAGTTTTTTTGTCATAAATGTGTGACTTTATGACATTATGTCTGAGATTATCCAAGTATCCTTGTAATGGCAAATGGAACAGTGACAAAATAACAGAGACAATGAATTATCCACAGTAATGAATTACCTTTCTTATGTTTTTTCAATCAGCTTCTTACTCTGACAAATGTGCTTCTACATGAATGTAAACCTCTCAGCAGAAGTTTTCACATGAGCTTATGCTGCATCACTGTACTGTGGATGTGTTTTCCCCTAAACTCTTTGATTGTTGCATATTTATCCATGAATATTTAATGTTATAGAGCAATACTAACACATATACTTTATAAGAGGTTTTTACTAGAGATTTGAAACCAATAGGATGCAGGTAAATTTTCATATTGTACTGAAATAAATGGAAACAAAAGGCTGCCTGCCTGGAGATTAATCAGAAATCTTTGGAAAATGGTTAGCTATTGTGTAAAGATAAAGGGTATTAAAATATTCAAAATCATTACGGTTATATAAGTTACAATTAAAAAAAGATATGGAAAGGAGACTTTCTGATGATCTGGATCTTTCACAGTGTCACTGAATAGAGCCAACAATGAGGACATTTTCACATTTGTCATAAGACTAAATTATGTCATTATTATACAGTGATTATACAGAGGATGAGGTAATAATCATAGGAGAGTTCAATGCAATTAAATATCTTTCCCTAGAAAAGTGCACGAGTCAGCTGTGAAAAAGTAAGAACTCTCAATGAGAAATGCTGCGGCTTGAATGAAGGGTTCTGCTGAGACAAGTTCATGTAAATGGATCTGGAGCCTGAGGCTAAGACAGTAGCATCCAAAGTCAAACAGGTCTGCAGGCAATGTTGACATTTGAAAACTAAGTACTGAAGAACTTATATCAGCATTCTCTGATACTTTTGCTTTGCGGGGCTTACCATCACCGAGTGGCGAGGGGAACATGGGCATCTCGTAACCAGTGGGCGTCTGCGGGGAACTCTGGGAACTGGTGTCTCTCGAACTGCAGTTGGAGGCTGAGCTCACTGGAGCCGACGAAACAAAATAGATGTCCGACTGTGGGTGGAAAAACAGAAGGACATATAGAGGAAATTAGATCAATACAGAGACATGATGAAGGGGTAAAGATGCCAGGAAATATTAAGAGGAAAAGGGGACAAAAAGAATAGAGAGCAGAAGCATGGAGAGAAAAAAGAAAACAAAAAACAAAGAGATTGCATGGGGATAGAGGAGGAAAAAGTATTTGTTTAATGACAGGTGAAACTGTGGTCTGCTTTAAATGATCTATGTGTATGAATTATGAGTGTATTATTGCATTGGAGCCATGCAGATTGCCAGCCATATTTCCCACCAGGGTAATAAAGATTGATTGAAATGAGAGAGCTGAGACGGCTACTTCTATAGACAACTGACTTCTAGAGTGGGGCCATCTAACACTGAACACTCACAAGCTAAAAGGGCTCTCGCTACAGTGAAACCAAGTTTGAGCACACCCAGTTTTGGACATAAAACAACAAAATATAAACAAAAAGGAATTATTTACAAAGTTGCAGTGTACATTGTTGACAAAAGCAGGGCATGAACATGATATTGGGTAAGCTGTCAAACATACTGACCCGTGAAGCAGCCAGCTGTAGCTCCGGGACCACGGCTGTGTACACAAGGTTGCCATTGACCACCAGTCGGATCTCAATGGAGTCCGTAGTGAAGGCCAGGATGTAAGGAAATGCACAAACTGCAAAGACAAAGACAATGAGCAGCAAATGATCAACAGGGGGCATCACTGGATAAACAAATAATTAAGACGTTTTCCAACTCACACAATACAAGACATTTAATAGATTACACATTCAGGTGTATACATATCCAGCAGATACAGAGCATGTTTCTGGCCACCTGCTGAATGAAAGTCCAGTATTCACTCTCCTCTTAGCTCTGTATTGGTCTCCACTAACTCCAAACACTGCAAATATCGGTCTCTAAAGCTGCTAAATGCTTCACTATGTTCACCAACTAGTCGCTAACGTTTTCTGTCTGCCGTTTGGGGCTGAGTAGCCTTTTGTTTTGGAGAAAACAGCTGCTTGTTGCACCTGCAAATGAGGCTGATGAGAGCAGTGAGAGTGAACCAAATATTTAAAGAAATGTTTTTTGGCTTTTTCCTTTTCCTTTATTGTGTTACATATATATTTTTTGTGCAAGTAATAGTTTTGCAAAGTGAAAAAGCCCAAAGTCCACCCCAAAGGGAGTTACCATCTCCCACAGAAAACACTGCTCCTGAACTGCTTGAAAACAGCTCCATTCAATTGTAGTCTAGCCTTTACTGTCAGGACCCGCCCTACTCTGCTTCTCATTGGCTAGTAGTCCTTAACTAGGTACTTCGCTCGTGCAACTCCCAGCAAAGATCATATAGAAGTGAGATACTTCACTCTGTAGGTAAAACGTAGCGGTCAACTCAAAAATACAAAACAACAAAAATATGGTGTTTCTTTTGAAAATGACACCATGTAAACCTATTCTGGAAACACCCCTAAATAAAATTATGAACATGAAAGTAAGTATAATATGACCACTTTAAAGTTACCGGTCGTAAAAACAAAACTAATGAGCTGAAAGACACTGAAATTCTCTGTAGAGCGGAGAGTAAGTACAGTGTAGGTTTGTCACTACTAATATTGATTTGAGTAACGGAACAATTGCTTTCAAACCGAGGCTCTCTAATACATTTTATACTTTTTATTACTCAGCACATTTTGTTATTGCTTATTTTAGTGCATCTGTGAGTATGTGTGTGTAAAAAGAGGGCATAATGGATGCACAGCAACCCAGAGCAGGCAGGGTTACAGGTTTAGTACCAATTGTGTTCACTTTTCATCAGCTGTTGCATTAATAATAACATGCACAGACACACACACACACAAATAATAACATATGCCAATTGGAGGCTTGTGGCTACACATGGAGTTCCCATGGTGATGGCAAGCGCTGGCCAGGCCAGCAGGGTGGGGCCCGAGCAGTGTTGCCCTGGTAACCTACCAATAGCATTGGGCATCTGGTTCCAGCTGAAGTGGAAGTCAGAGGTGTTGGACTGGATCATCGGTGTGGAGCCGTTAAACGGACAAACTTTCTTATATGAACAAATATCTGCAAGAGTCACAGAGGAAACAGGTCAACTTTCAAATTAAATGATTTACTTTCTTCTGTTTACTGTTGTTTTTTTAGTCTGTGTTTTGAACAAGGAATGAATTTTATTGTAACCCCGCTATTTGTCCTATTATCCAGACATTTAAAAAAGCATACAAAAGCTAAAGCAGATGGCAGCTTTTTCATAATTTATCTCTGACTCTTAATATTCTGGAGAAGTCTGTGCAATGATTTTTATTCCAGAACGGTGCAGTGGCAGAGTACAAACATTAATGCTCAGCTTTGACAGCAGATACAGGGATCTGAATCAAATGACTGATCTTAAATGTTGAGGGTCAAAGACAGACTCACAGTTGTAACACAACAGCAGACCCGCCTCCCCATCTTCGTACACATCAATGGCTGCTACAAAATTTACCTGCAGGCAGAGACGAGTCAGTTAAGGGAATCATTTCAACAAGATCCAAAGGTCAGATAAGAGAATGTGGAAATAAGCAAACAACAGCATTAACAAATAGTGCCATGTCACTTACCCTCAAGACACAGGGTAATCATAAAGCAATAGAAAAGATATATTTCCACCACAGTTTGTTCTTATTTTGATTACTCTTTCAAAGGCGAAATGGTCAAAGCAGAATAAGACGGTTTATTAGAACAGCTGTTCATCCTCCAGCCTGCTCATTCATTTCTCCTCCCCAACTGCAGGCTGTGAATGACAACTTGTTGATTCAACCAAACAGCCTGGTAATCAGCAGGTAAATAAAGCGACTAACTGGGCCAATTGAAGGTCTCAGTTCTGCTCAACTTCAGCGAACATCACATGAAAGCAAATGAGAAAACCATCAGGGTTATATGTGTATGTGCGTGCATGTGTGCCTCACCCTGTTGGCGTCTACATGATGTAGCCGATAGGCATCTCCAGTGCTCTCATTGATCAGGTCAAACTGATGTTTGTAGGCAACACAGATCATATTGTCATTTTCCCCCGTCGGCCCGTCCACCAGCGCCATCACCACCGGTGGGTCACACAGACAGATCTCCTAATGGGTTATACATGAGAACCTTAGTGCTCACACACACGCAGATGGGTTTAATTACTTTAACAGACTTATAAGTTTGTCTGTGTAAAATATTCTCCCCATGTTGATGGGACATTCACAGAAAAAAATTACAGTGTAGTACAACATGAATTATTTTTCTTTGGTAGCTAATCATCCTCTTAGTTTTGGAACTACAATTCCCATAATTCTTTGGGGGGATATTGCTATGGATCATAGACTTTATCGCCAGTCTATATATTCATATGTTTAAAGTCTATGCTATGGGTTCAGTGAGTAAAACTATGAGCCCCATTTATTTAGCCTGTATTTGTTTACATTTTGGCATATTGGAGCCATTAAAGGTTTGTCAAATGAGCTATTTGCAGTTAATTTATGCGATGTACTCATGGGTGTACAGACAACTAACACTGGAATACTTTGAAAAAAAGTAAAATGTCATGATTCTCAGGCAAATTCTGGAGTTATGAGGAGCGTTTTTTTGTGTGGATTTATTGGACGCTTATTCGCTATTACACTGGAGAAAATGATATCCTTGGAAAGCACAAGTAACACTGCATCTAAAACTATGCATCATGTCTGTGTCTTGAGATTTAATATAATAGAATCTTGACTCCAATAAATAGTACAATTGTTGACGCAAATTGGAGCAATTAAGGTACTTTAAAACTGCCTTGAGCTATGTATCACCGCCACTGCTGCAGCTCCAACTGCTAACAGTGTTGGTAAGCAGGCCAAATCAGCGGGCCAAATACAATAACTAACTTCTCGTTGTTTTTTTGAACCCCTGCAAGTACCTGTCTCGTTCAAGCAGTATCCATGCCTCACTTCTCTCTCTCCCCACCCCCCTGCAACTACATGAATGTGAGAAGAGAGAAATAACTGGGATATCTAATATCTTCTTTTTATGCCAAAAGAGCTTTAAAATGGAATTAACATTTAATTATCCTATTCATTTATTAACTTGTGAGTTCATTTTTCCATACATTCATTAATTTTCACTCATTCCTGTAGAGTTTGTTGTACCCGTATGTACTGAAACTCCTCCACCGGTGAGTCTGGCCCCGTGGCGACAGCGCTGAAGCCTTCAAAACGTGGATGTTTCCTGGTGATGAGGAGGAGTTTGTTCCTGATGGCTGCTACTATCCTCAGCTCGGAGCCGTGGTGGGTGTTGATAGAGTACAAATGACAGCCTGGGACAAGGAAGAGGGGGGACAGAGATAGAGAGTACATCGGACATGTGTTGTGCTATAAGTGTTGTTCCCTGGCACCATCCCACAGATCAATACACCCACCACAGACACCTGGAAGGATACCAGCAGCAGGTCAAAGGTTGTGTGTTTGCACTACAAAGAACCTTCATAAAAGGTCAAAATATCTTGCTTTAGACTAATTCAATGTTTTTTTTTTCTGTTCATTCATTTCTGTTTAAATGTAGATATGGACACACACAATTGTGAACTTATCTTTTAAGTTCAAAATTGAGCTGAATTAAAATAAATTTCTCTAGATTACTGAATACTTTTCTTGTTTGATTTGGAAATCGATTTGCAGCGTGTGCAACCCTATGCATATTCTTGCATGCCCCGTGTCATACCTTTAGTTTTCTCTAGTTTATTCTCTCGACTGTCGCACTTGCTTCTGACGAGCTGCTTCTCCTCCAGGCCTTTCTTGAGCGTGCCAAGTCTGAACACATAGATCCGAGCATCCTTCCCTGGAAACAAAACCAAAGTCACTTCTGTTTCGCACGAAGGTTGCTTTTAATTTGCCATCTCTCTTTTAGCATCCTCCCACAGCCAGATAATTGTGTTTTACTGCAGGAGGATTACTAGAAGGCTTCTTAAGGCTCATGCTCTCTCACAAGCTTCATCAGAGCCCACACACAGTCGTGACAAATGCTTGCGCTGCCACCACATAATCACTATCAAAACCAAGTCATCCCCCTTTGTCAATATTAGAGATAGCTAATCATCTGCATGGCTATTAATTACGAGCTCTCCTGGTTGAAGCAAACATGAAACCAATCAGCGACCTGCTGTATATGGTATTTGTGGTGTTTTTTTTATGCTTGTATGTTTAAATTTTTCTCTCAGTCCTTTATAGCCTGCTACTCTCTCAAAGTCAATCTTGTCCTGAAGGATAAACAGACACTCACTCACTTACACACACACACACACACCCACAAACACACACAACAGAGATTGGTTCTCTATAGGTCAGCTTCCCCAGATCCCAGCCAGAGATCAATGTGTTCACTGGGACAATGGAGGTGGAAAGGGTAAGTATGTACTCATCAACACTGAGAGAGATGACAGAGGTGAATTAAGGGAGAGGAATGGGAATAATGAGAAAGAAGGTATGCTGTAAATACTGCTCTGCGGCAAAAAAAAAAAAAAAATTAATGAGGGGATGACAAAGCACGGATCCAGGGGAAGCAGTCTGTGCAGGGAGGAGGGTATCGGGGTTTGTTAAGCAGTTTCCTCCTTCTTCTTAAAGTCTAAGCCTACCTTTGTCAGCCCTGGTGATAAGCAGGTCCTGAGGTTCGAGAACGTGCATCTGCTTCAAGACGATGGTTTTGTCAAACACCTGCACGGGGGGCAGAGCCTGTGCCTCTGAAACACAACACACACAATCACAATAAAAAGACGGGTAAAATCTGAACTGAGGTTGTAATGTTTGTTGGAAAACCTCCTCGGAGCAAGAAGCAGAAGGATCGGTTGCGTGACACTCACCAGCGTTGGGCAAAGCTGGATCAGGGCCTGAAACGTGGACAACATCATTAAATTCATCATGTTAGCTGTTGGCATTCTGCTGAGTGCAATATTGAATGGATATGGATGGGTGGCTTTATTTTAGAGGACATAGGGAGATATTGATTACGGATGACCTCACCATCCAGAAGCATAACCCCCGCTGCGTCAGTGGCAACGAGCAGAGACTGACCCCAGGAGTCAGCACACACGATCTCATAGGGGAAAGTGCTGCAGAATGACTGGGACTCCCATGGCTACAGCATACGTTCACATGCAAACATACAGATACATGGCAAAATATAAATATAATACTTTTTTTTATACATGCAAGAAATTGCAGTACAGAGATGCCAAAGATATGTTTTAGGTAACTTAGAAACATTGTCTCCATTAGAAAGTGTTGGTCACAATTCTTTGTCAACCACTTTGATAAGAGCTCTTTCTCAGGAATGTTTCTTTATGTTTTGTGTTTATGTGGGAAAAAAAGATATATATATATATATATAGATATATTCTATATTCTATATATTTTAATCTCTCAAATATGGATACGTTTTGGCCTCAAAAAACATTATTGGTCGTGCTCTACTTGACTCATAAGCTGTTATGGAAAATAAATGTTTAAGTAAAATAACATTTTTAGTTTCAGTAAGAGATTAAATTACTTGTTTATATGAAAATGTATTGCAGTGAAATGTCTCAACGACATGCCCTCACCTCTTTTCTGCACAGGCCTGTGGTAACAAGGCTAGTTGGGGCATCTCCTCTCACAATAGTCTTCAGCTTCAGAGCCTAAACACAAAATGGCATCAGATATGACACACAACAAAGACATCCAGCAATGTATGCTTTGGCTTGCAGTACTGATCATTTACCTGTATTAAAGTAATACAAAAATGCATCAGTACAAGTAAACAGTAAAGATCCTGCGTTTACAGTAGGAGTACAGAAATATTACCAGTAAAATGTAATTAAAGCTTCAAAAGTAGAGGTGCTAATTTTGCACAAAATGGCCCCTGTGACTGATATATAATTATATATGACATTATCAGTGTTAATACTGATGTAAAGCTGTTAAGAAGCATTTTACTGTTGTTGCCGGTTGAAGTGGAGCTAGATTTAACTTCTTTATATACATTGATATTTTAGTCCAGGGTTTCCAACCGAGGGTTTGGTCTCCCTCCAAAGGGTCACATGATAAATGTGAATATTAGTTCTGCTACACAGAAAGTTGTATTTTCTCTAATATTAGCTTTTTTAAAATGAAATGTTTTGGTTCTTGAAACCATCTAAGGAGTTTGGTGAAACTGCTAACTACTCATTGACATTTAAAACGTGACAACTACAAGCTTGTCTCTATTTGGGTCACAAAAAAACAAAGAAATAACATAAATAGCCTAAATATACTTGAGCAAATATGTATTTAGCTACTTTTCATCACTTCTGGCTTGTTCACTTCACTTTAGGTTGCATGCATTGAGTGAGTACGTAAATTTACTGGTCTTAAAATAAATAATGTGCTTGATATTTAACCATCTTCTGGACAAGACATTTAAATCATGGACCAAGCATGTGAATCACGCATGTAAATGCATTACTAGGACAGCAGTGGTCTGAGATCGCTGAATTATGTACTTTGTATTTGATCACTAATATTTAACTAGCCTGCCATTGTTTCATATTTTCATGCCTATTAAGGCACTGAGAACTGTGACGACAGCTCACCGCGGTGGAAAGAATCTGGACAAACAGGCTGGCAGCAGTAAAAAAAAAACCGAGTCATAAAACATTAAATAAAAGGTGTAATTGCTTTAAGTTTCAAATAGAATACAATTTGTTCAAATGCTCAAGCAGCAACCATCTGATCAGATTGACAATTTCCACTCCAAGCTGCACAGCCGGGCATTTCTATTCACAACTCTGCATAAACTGGCAAACTGGAGATAATGAAATCAGTACCAAGGAACAGTACAATGGCTTAGCAGTGCAGTGTGCCATCCGTGAGAAAATTTCCATTTACAAAATGCATATTCTGACCTATCAGGCATCCATGAAAACATGAAATCATTGTGTATAATGTGCATCACACAATGAATGAACATACAGAGAGACGGTTTAGTTCAGGACAAATGCCTTGTCTCTGCAAAAACTGAATAATCAATATCTCAACTCGTCTACCTTCCTATGTTTTCATGCATTACAGCACTATGTGTTGCTGCATCGACTTTGTGTTTATAAGCAGAGAGCAACAGAAACAAGACAAAAAAGGCACAAAACATTGACATGAAGAAGAACGATGGTTAGCAAATACAGATAACAAACTAAATAAACAAGAGAGACATAATTGCTTTAGTAGCATAAACGTGTATCTTTAGAACTAATCCAAAAAAATGTGCCTGTGTCTGTTCCACAGTGTACGGCTGTGATGGCAAATACGTAATAGGTGTTTATTTTCAATGTAGACTGAAAAATTTACAGCTTTACTTGTGGGTTGTACTCTGGGCTTTGTGAGGTTAACAAATTTGGTAATCGAGCTATAAACTCGACCTACCTAAGTTTTAAAAGCAATCAGTAAAATGCTGAAATCAGTTTGTGACGGAATCCAGTGTAGCTTTGTAGGAGGTGGTTAGTCTGTACATCTGGCACCTGTTTAAACCCTGACGTGATATGTATGGAACCCTAAGAGAGGGTTTGCCTTTGAGCTATTAATACATAGGAACATTTAGATTAATAACTTTATCTTGTTTTGCATTTGGTTTGTGATGGTAAAGGGACTTTTAAGGGTAATTTCTGATTCATTGTACTTACATTATATTTGTCTGTCCTGTAAGACTTTCTTTACAGACACATTTTCTGCAGGGGCTTTAGGACACCATCAAAACATATTTAGTTTAAGTTGAGGCAGTCTGAAACATTGTCAGGTACATCGCATCCCAACAGGTTGCATATTTGTCCAAATGAGATTTATTATCTCACAAACCTGGAACTAATTATTTCCATTTCAGTCACCATATCCCATTCTTTACACACTTTTCTTCTTTGTGTTTTCAGACTTTGTTCATGTGTAATTATAGTTACGTCAGCACCCAGAACAGAGGTATAAGATTGTTACATCAGCCTGGTAATGACTACTGAACTGTGGCTCAGAGTAAAAAGAGTCACAGATTTTGCTCATAAATGAAAGAGGCTAGTTTTTCAAAATCTCTGTAGCTACTCGAACAACCGCAGTTTCTCGATTTGGCTCGTCATTGTCTCAAAATTTAAAAATTCACTGGTGCTGGTAGGTAAGTGTGTATGGGCGGATGTCATGTTTTTCAGCAAATGACAGGAAATCTGTGTAATGTTTTCTCATTGTGAGTTAAGCACCTCAAAGCTCGAATTGTCACGCTCTGCCGGTTGGCCATCCTTTGTGTTGCACTTTTGAGTTTAGTATCTGCCTTAGTATGTTGAGTTTTGGGTTTTGTCCTATCTAGTGTCCAGTATCTGCTATATAGTCTGTTGTGTTTTGAGTTCCTCTGAGTTATTGTGTGGTCAGTTCGTTATCTGTTATTTAGTTGGTCTTTGATTCCATGTCATGTTCTTAGTCTTGTACTTTAGTTCATGTCTTTAGTGTTTACTCCGGGTCTTGTGTTCTCTGTTAAGCTCTGTACTGTGTTCTAGTTCTGTGTTCTGATATTTTGTAACATGTGTGCGTTTCTGTGTTGTCGCTTATTCACTCTGCCCCAGGTCTGCTTGTCATGTCAAGTCTCTCTGTTTTCCTCTGCTCTCTCTCTCTCTGCCTCGTTAGTCTCATGTCTGTCACCTGTGTTTCTCCCGCCCTGCTCGTTAGTCCCTGTGTGTGTGTTAGTGTGTGTGTGTGTGTGTGTGTGTATATACCTGGTGTTTCTGTCTTGTCTTTGTCCGGTCATTGTTCATGTTACCCCCCCAGTCTGTCGTGCGTGAACTCTCTGCCTGCCTGTAACCAGCCTTGCTTGTCTTGTCTCCCTGTACTTTTGGATTTCTGTTAGAATCACCTTGTTTTTTGGACTCTGTTAACCAGCCACTCTGTCAGTAAGTGTGCTCGCCTTTAGTTTGTTTTCCCTCAATAAACCCCCGTTGAACTATACCTGCTCCGCTCTGTGTCCTGCGTTTGGGTCCTCCAACCTGCCTCCACACCACTAATTGTGACACTAATCTTAAGTGTTCTTCATAAGAGAAGCTGATCAAACCAGTATCACATCCTCCGGTCATTTCCCTAGTTAACACCAAACACGGCCTTTTGTACCTTGTGCTTTAAAGCATGAAAACATAATAAAAGTGAGTTGCTGTATTAAATGCTCTCCATGATATCATTTGTGTACATGATAGTTTTGTGCTTATCATATGCCTATAATAATTAAGCATTATGTTTTTTTTTTTGTTTTTTTTACACCTAACAGATCTTAAGAACCTGTGTTGGACATTTTATTTTGAAAATATCCATCTCACGTTTCAAAATCCTACTTTTGTCTCCCTCAGTTTTAGTTTCAAGTTGATTTTTTTTACTCTGTCTCTCTGAACATTTTAATCTTACTGTGCATTCACTATAGTTCAGATGAGAGAAGTTTGACTTGATAATGCACTAATCTTAGTCGCCTTCAGTTATTACAGTGTGTTCAAAGCAATGAGCTTAACGTGCAGCGAGTGGTGGAGTCCTCAGTGTACTTTTTCTTGCCCTCTTTTTGATCATGCTACAAACCTGTTGCCTGACCTCATCACTGGATGCTGTTGGGCCTGTATGCAGCATGAAATGAATCCCTGCAGACACAACTCAAGGCTGAAAAGGAGTACTGCCCACTACATTTCTCAAGACTAGACTTTTTAGTCTATATTTGAATTTCAGCTAGAGTCAAATGTAAGATGGTAAAGCTCAATTTGTAGAGAAGATGAGGCAAATTGGTGGGTAAAGTTAAAGTTCTTTTAGCAAGTATGAGATTGGAAAAAGGACTGACTTTGGCTATAAAAACAGTTTTTGTTGGAAGACACACTTGAAAAAATCCTTTAAGTGGTGACAAATCAGTTAAATGATATAGTGAATGAATGAAATAGACAGCACATAAAAGTGACATGATTTATTGTGTTATTTTAATATTAATTTAATTGAGGCAGTTACAAAATGTGAATATATAATGCAAATTTATAACAAGCTAAATGCTAACTGCTGATATCATACTTAATGATAGCAATAATCAACATCTGTGTTTAAATGTGCATCTAGGTTTCTTCAGGTGTGTCCATGTATGCTGTTTGTGTGTGCCCATCATTGTCTGGGTGTGTATCATGGTTTGGTGCGCATGTGGATATTACTGCAGAGCCATGGTTGGCTGGTAATACTGTGTGTGTGTGCTTGCGTGTTTATTACTTTGTTACCTGGCCTATTCTGACAAATTCGGCTTGCCGTGCCTCCTCCTTCTTGCGTGCCGACTTTGGAGACTCAGGCAGCACGTCGCTGAAGGACCGCCGGTTCAACATGTTCTGGGGAGAAAAAGGAACCTAAACGTGGCACACCAACATCCAAAATGTGGCACACACACGCACACACACATACACCACACATACAGAGGAGAAAAGAAAGCAGAAAGGGGTCTTAAGAGACTGACCCTGGCAGGGGGTGAGAACAGCAGAAGTTAATTGTCATATTAGGAGCAACATTGAAAGGAGTGAAATAAAAAACAATGGAAACAAGAAAAGTGATAAGAGATGTGATGAGAGAGAGCCCTGCTGAGAAAGTCCCTGCTGAGAAAGTCAGCATTGCAGTAGTATCCAGTGTGGTGCAGTATGCAGAGGCAGAAGGCTGCAGTGGAATATAGCAGCTCACAACTCAGCACTAGCTACAGTCGCTGCCACTGACTGAAGTGACAAGGAGCAGACTACTTGGATGGCCTAAAAGTACGTCCATGAACGGACAAGAGCAGGTCTCTACAATAAAATGGTGGTCAGCAATTCAGCTGTACCTTGTACAGGTCAGGCATGAGGTCTTGGTAGAGCGAGCGGATCAACATGTCAAGGGTCCGCTGGCGCTTCTGGGCAAATGTTGGCGTCTCCAGTGTGGCTTTCTCTCCATTGATTACTACAGGAGATGAAGCAAGATCAGATTAGAGAAAAAAACGACATCGGAATGATGCAAATGTATTGCTATATTCTAATGATATATTGTAATGTTTTTTTCTTACATTTGACTAATAAAAAGTCCCTGAATTCTTGGTGATCAGTAAATACAGGTGGAGAAGGGAGAGGGGGTCCAAACAGTGGAACACTCTCCTCTGAGAATATCTTCAACCTGTGACAAGGAGCAGATATATAGCATCTCTCTTACACTTACAGTGGATGAAAGAGCACATCCAACAGTATGGTAAAGTAAAGCCAACTACTCTTTTTAATTGAGGACATCACAGAAACCAAGAGGACATAGCAGTTAGAACTAAAGTGAGTTTCTTAGGTAGTGAAAGTCAAAAGCAGCTGTTACACAGTCTGGACTGAAACCGTAAACCACAGTATTAATCAAAACACTCACCTGTAACTGTCATTCTGGCTATTATACCTAACTAATGCAAAAATATCTGGAAGTGAAGTGAAGTAAAGGAAACATATTATATAGGAAACACAAGAGCAACCCATATATATATATATATATATATATATATATATATATATATATATATATATATATATATATATATATATATATATATATATATATCTTCATTAGAGGGCCGAAGTGATATGTGTTTAAAAGCTCATCTGAACATGGTTCATGTTGCTGATTACCACTTCATTTCTCTGGCAATTATTTTCTATGTGAAGGATACGGGTGAAGTGCGATCGGATCATTGACGGTTTGAAGGACGATGACGCGTCATCCCCTTCCTGGAAAACTATGGTAACAATGTCATTTCCAATATGTCTCTTTCTCTCCACCTGCCAGGGGACAAGCCAAAGAGACACAAGATGAGGAAAAAACAGCATCTTAACCTTGGTACCTTGTGATTCATGTGTTCCAGGAACTGTCTTTAAATCGTCTTTAAACCTGCAATTATTGATTTTAAGGTCACTTAGGGACAAAGCAACAACTGTAAACACAACATTGATGTATTATCACCTTATAAAGTTGTTACGGCTAATTAGTTAGCAAACAACTGCCTATTTGCCCATCCAGCACACACAGAGCAAAATTAGTATTCATAAGGAGTCGTGTATGTGTGCACCTAATAAATGTAAGTACAATATTCACTCTCACTTTAGCTCTGTTGGTCTACACCAGGGGGAACTGTCGAGACAACTGTGCTCGCTCATTGCCATGGATTGAGTGAGTTATTACTGTGGGTTACAACTTGAGCCCAATTTTTCAGCCTATATTTGTTTTCATTATGGTAAATTGGCACCATTAAAAGTATGCCGACTTACCTAAAAGCAGTCCTGGTTTGCAATGTACCCATGCATGTAAGACAACTATTAGAGGATAGTGACATGTTTTTAAGATACTGAAGAAAAGTTAAAAATATGATAATTCCCAGGCAAGTAAAAGGGTTATAAGCATCTTTTATCTATGATTCCTAAGCAGATTTCTGGATGTTTAGTCATGATTAGTCATTAGATAGTCAGCAATATCGATATCCTCGGAAAGTCTAAGCAACAATGAATTTAAAAATACGTATAATGTCTGTGTTCAAATTTGACTGAGTTATGACTGAGTCTCTCAATAGAGAGATGCACCTCACAGGTTGAAAACTTCTGGTCTACACTAACTCCTGGGTGATATATCTGGCTGTTTAGCTGCTTAATGCTCTGTTTGGTGCAGGGAAGCTAGTGTTAAGTGCATATATATGAACTTTGTCACTAAAATAGCTGTCGATAGAGTTTAGAAACTACGCTAATAAGAGCGGTGAGAGTAAATTGGAACAGTAAAGCTGCGCACTGAAAAAACCCCAAAACAATTAGCTGAAAGTCACTAAAGCACTCAGTAGGGCTGAGGGGATCTGTAGAGTCAGGAGATAAATCTCTGTGGGTATATCATTACGAGCAACGTGTTTCACATTACGAGGTCATGTCATCCACTGTTAACATAGAAATATTAATAATAGCATCTTAAGTGAAGTAGTCTGCATCACTCTGTTGATGAGGTACTGGGTAAGGCTGCTATGTTGGGGAAATGTGTGTGTGGAAGAGGGTGTCATTCTAACAGCAAAGATTTTCCAATCTCTCAACACTTAAAAACACTATGAAAAGCAGTGATAATTTCAAGTCTTTGATCTCAACACAGGCAGCAACATCGAGCACATCTCCTGTCCCACCGGTTTATTTGGCCATTTCTATTTTTATATATTTTTATTTGTATTTCTGTTCCAGAAGAAGACATTTCAACAACCACAACCCTTTGGCTTGCCGCTCCATCAAGTCCAAATGAACTTGCTCATCCATTCACTCCAGTTGATTTAAGAGACAGACGGCTATGAATTTACCTCTGAACAATCGTCCTTTTTATTTTAATCAGCACATAGAATTTCTTCTAGCATTATCCCCAGGATGAACTTTTTTATCCCCACTACCTGGAAGGCTATACACATAGCAAAATTGTAACGATGCTTTTCTTTACAGCACTTCTGGGTTGTGGGGTGAAATGACAACTTCACCAATTAAGCTGAACTGACTTTACATTGCAGAATGACTCTTTACTCAGGTGTGAAATATTCTTCTTTCATATGGCTGCACTCTGGATGGGAGATGAGTAAGAAATCCAATTATGTGTCAGATCTGCAAAGCACCAGGCCTTTTAAGTCATACTAATACTAATATTGGCATTACAGAATCGAGCAACAGTAACAGTCTCCTTTTCTTTGTAAAGTGAGCACATTTTGTCCTGTTGGCTGCCATTGTTCTGGCTTAATATCACTACACTGTTAAAGTGGAGTCTTTTCTCAAAAAAATGACAGCGAGATGAAGACCTGTTTCTGCAATTTGTCTAATACCAAGGGCACCCTGGTGGATCATCTGGTCGAACACATACCATTACGGCTGATTCCTTCCTGCAGCTGCCCGGGGTTTCGATTCCAACCCGGGGCCCTTAGCTGTCTCTCTCGTCTTTCCTGTCTCTCTCTGCAGCTGTCACTATTTAATAAAGAAGGCAAAAATGCCCCTAAAAAATCCTAATTTTTTTTTAAATGTAAAAGTCAGTGTTCTGGTGTGCTAATGTTTAGCAGGTATTACATTTATCATGTTCACCACCTTAGTTTAACATTTTCTAATGAGTGCTTAAAAGTACAGCTGAGACTAATGGGAATTTAATACATTATGCACGTATTTAAACATCAAACAAAGTATTATAATTAAAATTATGACCAACGTTATTACAATTCATCCTCAGGGGAACATGAATGTCTGTACCAAACTTCATTGCAATCTATCCCATAGTACATTATATACACTCAAAATGTCAACCTTGTGGTGATCAAGGGATCACCAAGATCTATAGAGTTCATCCTCTGGGGACCATGAACGTCTGTAAAAAAAAACCTTGTCAAAGCATTTAATTGATGTCAAGCTATTTCAATTTGAATCTGTTGAGACATAAAAGGACATCAGTAGTCAGTAGGATTCATCTTCAGGGGATCACGGATGTCTGAATCAAATTTCATGTCAATCCAGTTGATATTCCATTCTGGGCCATAGTAGTGGACCAACTGACATTGCCATCCCTTTAGTGTGGCTAAAAATAAATAACTATATAACAGGAGAAAACTAAACTAACTAAACACAGAGAAACCCACCTGCTGTTTGTTCTCTTTAGAGTAGGGTAACATGGTGGACACATGGAACATCAGCTCATGGCCCTGATACACTGTGTAGATGGACTTAATTCCTGTAGTGTCATCTGCAAAAAGAGACACGAGACACAAAGACGAACATATTTAAAGGCCTTTACTTTAAAATTATGTTAATGTAATGTGATTCAGCCGATGTGAGATCTCTTACTCTTGGTGTCTAACCCTCCGCGGTAACCTGCCCATCCCTGCAGCGTAATGGAATCACCCAGCAGACTGAGAAACTTATCAAAGCTTTCACTCCCCGTCTCTGAAACAAACACAGGACATTTATTTGAGCAGATAGCTTATATTGCTGTATATACTATTTTGATATAGGGATATATATATATATATTATATATATATGAGATTTTGGGAAATACACCTATTCGCTTTCTTTAAGTTAGATGAGATTGATTCCACTGTCACATTTGTACCCTAAGTATGAAGCTTACACCAGCAGCTGCTTAGCTTAGCTTAGCATGACTGGAAACAAAGGGAAACAGCTAGCTTGGCTCTGTCCAAAAGTAACATAATCTAACTAGAAAAGCCTCTAAAGGTGGCTCATTAAAATGTTATGTAGCTGTTTGTTTTTGCACTTTATGTTTTTGAGTACTTTTTGTTTTTTGTTATTTTTTTAACCAAAAATAGCATCTTAGTTGTTCTTTGTTCCTTTTCATTCCTCTGTATTGCTGGTACATGTGGCGAAATTGTCCAGAAAGCTGACTTTGACTTGTATTTTGTTTATTGAATCTGCACAAAACATTTGTCAATATGACACATTTATCTCATTTGTTTGTCTTGGCTAGGTGCAGTAAACAAATGAGATACAAAAAGTTATTAAGTGAGCTTTGGAGTTGCTGGTAGGCAGTCGTTATACAGAACCAGGCAAGTTATTTCCCCATTCCCAGTCTTTTATGCTCACCTAAACCGCTACCTCCTGCTTCATATTGAATGGACAGATATGACAATTAATTCAATCTTCTAACTTTTGACAAGTGTTTCTCCCAAAACGTCGATCAATTCTTTTAATAGGTTTGGATACTGAAAAAAGTTGAGTATGGAGGGATTTACCATTGCTAAACATCTCGTCATCTGTGAGCTGTCCATCTTTGGCATACAGGACACCAAATTTAAAGTTGACAGAACCCTACAAAATGATAGTTGGGTTCACATTATGAAATTACTTACAATAACAATAAAATACAACAATTTACAATAAAATTTACATTTAATATTATTTTCTATTGACATACAGTGCTTATATTGTAAGAAATCTACACAGAGAATGTAAAAAAAGGTGCAACATATACACAATAGGTAATCCTAAATGCTAATTATCAGTCTTAGAACAAAGATACACAGAGAGAGTAATTATACAACATGAAGACAGGATTAATAGCATGCACTGTGCAATTACATAACAGAATATAAAAATGTATGAAGATGGCACATATTAGAATGTACGTGGTTTGAGATATATTTAATACAATTTTCCTGTAAGATTTAAGACAATTTTAAAAATAGTTTTTCAAGATTATGGCAGAGACCTTTACCAGATAACAAAATCTATAAAGAATCAAAAAAGCAGGTATCTGTTTTGGTATGTATGTATGTATGTGAATGTGACTGGAAAGCTAAAAAAAAGAAAACCAAGCAAAAGGGCATAAAATAAGTAATTTCTTAACAAATGCCAGAACTCTACAAAAAACAATCAATGAATAAGCTAAACTGTACTGTGAAAGCAGTGTCATCCCATACCTCCTGTTCCTCCAACACCAGCAGATCCTGAGGAAAAAGGACACAAAAATTATGGATCACACAGACCAATTCTCCAGGTAGAGATGACACAGCCTGAAGATATTATACAGTTTAGGTGCCGCTGATCAGGCCTGGCATGAAATGGACCTGTGCAACATTTCTTTAAGAGCTGGCCAATGCTCTGGCATTAGTCTTACCTTCTGAATCTCCGGGTTGAGGATCTCCCTGGGGCCTTTCTCAAACCTGTCCATGTTCATTGCACTGGTAGTAAGGAGAGGAGGAGGAGGAAAAGGAAGAGTAAATGAAGTAGCAATGAAAAAAAAGAAGAGAACGGAGTGTTTAGGATCGATGGAAGACAAATAGCCCAAAGGGTTACACAGAAAAATGAGCGAGAACTGATACAGGGGATTTTTAAAACATGCAGTGAAACTACAGGAGCAATGTTGTCAAACTGGGCAGTTTTCCGTGCAATTTGGCTTCTTTGATATGATTGGGTCGGTAAAGTAGTAAAAATAAGACAGCTTGTGATGATGTGGGCTACTTTTTGTACCATGTGGGATGTTTTATTTCCCCTAATCAAAAGTTAGAATACATTCTAATCCATTCCTCTCCTATAACAGCAGGCCAACAAGCAATGACTGATAACTAATGCTGAAACAATTGCTCTGATTAATGAATTAGAAGAACGACAGAAAATTGATCAGCGACTATATTGGTAGCTGGTGAATCGTTTTAGTCTTTTTACAACTAAAAATGCTAAATATTCTCTGGTTCCAGCTTCTCAAATGTGTGGATGTGCTGCTTTTTTATTATATGTTACAGTTGACTGAATATCGTTTTGGACTGTTGGACAAAACAAAAAATATAAATACATCCACTTGGGCCTTGTAAAATTATGAGCATTTTACACGATATACTAACATTTTATAGACAAAATGGTTAATCTATTAATTGGGAAAATAATCTGCAGATTAATCAGTGAAAATAGCCATTACTAGCCCAATTGACTTTTCAGTTCCTCATAACTACGCTAAAATTGTTTTTCCCATTGAAATTATAAATTTTACCTACACTACATAATAAAGGCCTTGTAAAAAGCTGTTACATATGATCATGTAAGTGACTTTTTACGTAAGTAACATTATCTAAAAGACTTACTGTAGTGGAGATGTGTCATTATTTTAACCATGATTTTGAGTTCACCTACAATTCTGATAAAGCAGAAACCATGAAGTTTGACAAATTTTTCTTCTTGCACTTGTCATGTGGGCAAACACAATAATGCCCATTACTGATAAGTATGTTTACTGTTGGATGGACTGGACTGTTGGCAAGCATATTTTGAGACCAAGTTGCGTGTCTGTATTTTATTTTAGCAAAATAATATCGTACCCTACTGGACAGTTAAAAACGTATAACTTCTTTTAGATCTCCATATACAGTATAGATGATATTTTGTTAAAATAACATACACAAGTTGCTTGGTCGCAAACACTTAACCTCAATAAAAGTGTAACATATCTATCTTCAGTGGACATTAGAAACTTGTTTCATTTAAGGCAGTTGGGAAATTTGAGGCTCTGATTGGGTTATTTGGTGTAAGTCACATCTGGCAACACTGTATGCATGTCTTTATGTCTCAGCAGCAGCATGAGATAACCAAGAATAACTGTGTCAGCTTAGACCTCCAGGCTGCACTTCTCACCTTAGGATGGACTTGACTGATAGTGTTTTGGTTGGGCTGTAGGGGAGGCTGATCTTCAGAGTGCCCTGAGCGAACAAGAATGACACACATCAGGGATTACAAACTCTTAGCACCGTGGGCTTCAATCACATTTTCTCTGAGGACTCACTTGCTCAAACCTGTTGTTCATTTATGAAAGAATACCATGTAAAATCAGGATTGCCCAAAAGAAATTCACAACATATTTTTCATAGAATAATTGCAGAGGATCAAATTAAACCAGAAGAGCTGTTCAAGCCAAACAAAGTTGTTCTGTTCAACGACAACAACAACAACATCCTGTACCAGTTAGAGAAGGACAGAAACAAGATAAATCAATGTGATCAGGCAGCGGAGGTGCATCACCCTAATCAGGTTCCAGATGAGGCTGAAGGCCAAAATTAGATCCAAGCTATCTTGGTCATGGAGCTAAGTCACGACACTACAAACACACAATATGGAACATGCATCTCTCACACACACACACACACACACACTAACACACACACACACACACACACACACACGCACACACGCACACACACAAACGGTGACTCAAAAGTGGAGTGGCATAGTTCCTCAAGATGCCATTTTGTGCCTTCTCATATTTAGATTGCAGAAAAACGTACCACCTACGACTGGAAAATGTTCACGTTTAAGCTCCATTTGAGCTCCAAATGTTTCAGTACCTTCCTTTCTGTTGGTGAAAGATCCTGTGAGGCAGTGATGCACAATAACTGAGTACATTAATTACACTTATGAGGTGCTTGTACTTTACATGAGTATTTCCATGTCATGGTTTATAGTAATTTTCAAGGGTAGACAATGAAAATAACTTTGTGTAGCAGAACGTTTTTCTTTTTTTATACCTCATTAGAAATCCCCCCCCCCCCCAGATTTATATGTATAAAGTAGTTAAAAGTAGCCACACCTCCATCAGCTACAACAGTAAGATGTTTGAATGCAGGACGTCTTTATAGTGTTGTATTGCTGCTTTTACTTAATTAAAGGATCCGAGTAATTCTGCCACTGCTGCAGTGAGGTGTGCAGATGGTGAACTCACCGTCTTTCTCCAGAGGATGGCTCTGTACTGAGGAACTCGCTGGTTGTTCTGGTCTGAGAGGACGACTGACAGGTAGAAGGGATTCTTCTCTGCATCTGTACCCACATAGTTCTGGTGGACTGAGGGAGACAAAGTGTACAATGTAAAATGTACAGATGAAATTATACATGCACATTGATATTTTCATTGTGACATCCACACATGTTAAATATCCAAACAGTGATCAGAGAACTTAAGTTTTTCATTTAGGTAGAGTATTTTTTCTTAAAGTGACTGATTGCATTCTCTCCCACCAAAATGTTTAGGTATTCAGCTCTCCTTTTAATCCCCTTGTTGTCTTGGCTTGTCTTTCTCTGCCTTTTTGTCCTCCTTCCTACCCATTCTTTCATTATTTCCTGTGTGACATAGGCACAGACAAAGATCTCCTGATGACACCACAGCAGAGTCACATATTCATGCCTCTGCCTCTTCGGTTCACAGGGTAACATCTTCTGGAGCGGCGCCGAACAGACCTCCAAACCCAATTAGATCTCTTCCTGTATTGCTGTCCCTTTGTTTGTCCTCCTCTGATGCTTTCCTTTCCTCTATTGTTGTCTTTATTCCACAATTTCACTTACTTTCAATTTTTGGTTTTTAGCTCTCTTTATTCTCCATCAGCCATGTTTTTGCAATTATATACTTATTGGTTTAGACAGCTGGAGCTTTTCTCTGTGTGAGAAGAAAGCACATTGTAATCAATCAGGAATTCAATGCAACAGGGACACAAACGAGGACAAACTGTTTTACTGTTTTTCACCTAATCATTAAGAAACTGAGAATCCAAGTCATTGTATTGGAAGTGCTTATGGTCAAATAATTGGCCTGGAGTTCGTAATGTGCTGTGTTGTACTATGCAGTCAGCTCTGCTCAGGCTGTGAGACACAGATGGCTCAGCTGCAGTCCAAACAGGTTGAGCCAACTTTCTGGAGACATGGCTCTTTTTAAACTGCCCATGCCATAGCATGATTAGACCCTGGCTAGAGGAGAAAAGGCGTTTCTTCTTCCACTCGCTGACTTTTTTGCTGTCTGACTTTCCTTCACAATTATCTCCATGCATGTCGGCCTCTGTCCTTTATCTCAGCCTTTCAGCTGAAGGCAGTCTTCCTGATTCAAGTCACGGTAAAGAGATCTGGACAATGATCTTTTGTTGCACAACTTGCTGTGCCGCCTACAGTGCGATTCTGAGAACAGGTAGGGTGTTAATGAGGATGGTGAGAGGATGAGGGTCATAAAGGTGAAGGAACAGGTGACCCATTCTAATGTATTGCCTTAAATGAGTGGTGCAGCATGAGGACAAGGCTGACTTTATAAGATAAGAAGCATCATGTGGACCAGGGAAGAAATTCAGAGGATGTTTTATTTTTACAGCATCTGAGAGCCAGCTTATAGCCTCACCCTCACCCTCTGTCTCTCTTTTTCTATCTCACACTTACACTGCTTCCTAACTGGAAGTGGTGCGAACAAGCAAACATCAGACTTTCCTAATGAAAATGTCCTAACCTGCTCCGTGCATCAGCGAACAGGCTAAGAGATATGTCATTTGTTTGAAAAAGTCACTTGCCCTGGTCCTATTTTGATCTTGCTCCACCTCCAACCTATTTTCATTGTTCAAAATTGGCGCTGACGTCCCTGATGTTTCTGTTTCCCCTCCAGTCAACGATCTATCCGCTAGAGTTCGCTTGGTTGCTGTATGTTAGGAAGCGATGTTCCTCCATGTGTGAGTATGTGTGTTTTTTCTTTTTAAACAACAGCAGTAAACAACAGCAGAGCAGCACTGACCTTTTCCCAGGAAGTATTTAAAGAACCATCTGGTGTGGTACTCTGGATTCTCCAGATGGACATCGGTTCTCCTCCAGGTTCCTGGAGTGTAGTCCAAAGTCTGTTTGTCACAGACACAAATGCACACATAATACAGTATCATCATGATGGTCACAGCTTGAATCTCAGCAGTCTTCTCAGTGGAAAACACTATGCAGCAGTACTGATTAGAGTACAGGGCAGGAAATCAGATACAGCCAAAAGCATGTGCTCAGTAATCTACAGTCAATCTTTATGGTGTTATTGTTGTATCATGATGTAAATAATCCTAGAGGAGGCGGAGATTCTCAATTAAAGCTGGAGGGTTAAAGTTTTATTTTATATAACATAAAATTATTCAAGAGTAGATTTGCACCAAAATGAGTGCTGAGGCAGATGCTCATACTAGTACATTTATCAATATAACACACAACATTGGCATCTTTTGTCACTATGCTAATGAAGTTTTTTTTGTGTCTGGCATATGTGTTACCCTGATGGTTTTTTTTATATATGCATAGAAGTTTTTTTTATGCAGTACAGACAGTATCAAAACTCATTAATGTTGTCATGATACCCCTTTGCCAGTTTATATAGTAGTATAGTTGTGAGCACTAGACTGAATTTACTATCCTTGAATAATGTTTAGCAACCAGAAAAAATAAACTCTCCTACATTTAACAAATAAAAGTAAATATGAATCTGAAAATAACAAATCCATAGTATATCAGTGGTTGGATCTCATAACCCCTCTGATATCTCTTTAAACCTATTGGACTGGTCCTCACCCCCACATTGGGAACCACTTCAATAAGAAACTATGGTAAATCATACAGGTAGCTGCACAAGTCAGTCAATGGCATAATTCAACAATAATAAAAATTATTAATAATAATAATGTTTGTATGGAGCCATGCTAGCTGTTTCCCCCTGTTTACAGTCTTTGTGCTAAGCTAAGGTATTCATTTCCTGGATGTAGCTTTATATTTTGCATACAGACATTAACAGACATTAATAATAATATGTCAAGATGTCTGATCACCATTTTCACAAAGCAACTCGCACATGTACAAAGACACAAGAAAGTTGCTGTCTGAGTAACACAAAAAAAGTACGGCTATTTCTGATATTTTGTCCATTTATTGAGGTTAGTGAATCTGTGCATCTCACATCTCCTCACTTCGTTTTAGTGCTGTATCAGCGCTAGAGAACATTACCATTCCGGTAAAGACCAATTACATCTAAAAAGCAATAATCATCTTGGGATGATTAGTGTCTAGCAATAGTGTCTAAAGGGGAGGAGAATTCCAAGTGGAATAATCTGCCAATGGCAGGCTTATACTCACAGCATACATCCTGTGAACCAGACTAGTAAAAGCAAGACAGGGTTGAGTGGATAGGTTGAATGCATGTGTGTACAAAAGTGTATTTCATTGTATGTACCTCATCTGATGAGCCATTCTCCACCCTGAAGCGTCCTGCCCTCTGAATGGCCCCATCTGCGTCACTGGAAATTAGCTTAGAGGGTGACAGAGAGACAGAAAGAGGGAGACATGTTTAAAATAGACGCCTGACAAACCATGACTTGTGGCAGACAGTAATAAGCAGGTCACAAATACATTAGAGCTGGCTATCATCATGGACAAAAGAGGAACCACGGCGGACACATCACCTCCACGTGACAATAGCAGCATGAGTCCTACTACAAACATATCTGTGTTCCCCTGTGTTTATTAACAACATCTTCAAACTTCTTTAATCATCAATAATTACTCAAGTCATTGCAACGATTTCTTCAACTCTCTTTGCTGTAAAACCTGTTTTTATGCTCTATTTTTTTCAATTCTAGCATCTGTCACTGTCTACTTAATCGCCCCAATTATCTGTCTCTTGCTGACTTGCCTCTCTTTACTACAACATTGGAGAGGAGACATTATGAGAGTGAAATGGGACAGTTAATGATAGTGGAAGAGTGAGCTAAACAAGAGAGGGCAGGGGAGGAGAACACAATGCATCCTGTGTAAGTACATATAACTTCAAGAAATGATTTGGTGTTTTGGGAAATACAGTAGGCCATGCTTACTGGCTTTCTTACAAAGAGATTCCCAAATAACCTCAGCACTCGTAACGTTGAAATTATTTAAGTCAAAGGTAAACAGAAGAGGAGCTGTGCATAAAAACCTCATAAAAATTAAAACCACAAGTTCAATAGTGCAAATGAATAGGAAAATTAAATGTGGACTCTTAAACATCAGATCTCTCTCTTCTAAAGGTGTACTAGTAAATGAACTAATATCAGATTATGATATTGATTTATTTTGTCTTACTGAAACCTGGCTGGGTGATGGAGAATATGTTAGCCTAAATGAATCCACCCCTCCCAGTCATATTAATACTCACATTCCTCGAGGCACAGGCCGAGGAGGTGGAGTTGCAGCTATCTTCGACTCTACCCTACTTATCAGCTCTAAACCTAAACTAAATTATAACTCATTTGAAAGCCTTGTTCTTAGTCTCTTACACCCAAGTTGGAAATCACTGCACCCAATTCTTTTTGTTGCACCTGGTCCGTACTCTGAATTCTTATCTGAATTTGCAGCGTTTTTGTCAACTTTAGTCCTTAAAACGGACAAAGTTATTATTGTAGGGGATTTTAATATTCATGTGGACGTTGAGATTGACAGCTTCAGTACTGCGTTTATCTCTCTTTTAGATTACATTGGCTTCTCTCAGAGTGTTCATGAACCGACTCACTGTTTTAACCACACCCTCGACCTTGTTTTGGTATACGGTATTGAAATTGAACACCTAATAGTGTCCCCACAGAATCCCTCTTTATCTGACCACTGTTTGATAACTGTTGAGTTTGTATTGCTGAACTACACGCCATTGGGCAAAAATTTCTTTACAAGATGTCTGTCTGATAGTGCTGTAGCTAAATTTAAGGATGCGATTCCATCAGCTCTAAATTCATTATCAGATCACAAAGTAACGGAGGACTCCTATGCTAATTTCAGTCCTTCCCAAGTCGATCACCTTGTTGATAGTGCTGCAGGCTCGCTGCGAATGACACTCAACTCTGTAGCCCCTCTAAAAAAGAAAATACTAAAACAAAGACGGTTAGCTCCATGGTATAATACTGAAACAAATTATAGCAAATATTGCGGAAACTTGAGAGGAATTGGCGTTCCACCAAACTGGAAAATTCTCGTTTAATTTGGCAAGATAGTCTTAAAACTTATAGGAAGGCCCTCCGTAATGCCAGAGCAGCGTACTACTCGTCATTAATAGAGGAAAATAGGAACAACCCCAGGTTTCTTTTCAGCACTGTAGGCAGGCTGACAGAGAGTCACAGCTCTATTGAGCCAAGTATTCCCATAGGTCTCAGTAGTTACAACTTCATGAGCTTCTTTAATGATAAAATTATAACTATATTAGAAACAAAATTTACTATGACCTGACCTCAACTGGCACCGACTTATCTCCAAACTCAGGAACCCTAGAAACAGCTGTAAAACCAGATATATGTTTAGACTGCTTTGCTTCCCTCAATCTTTACTTTAACTTCAATAATTTCTTCATCTAAACCATCAACCTGCCTCTTAGACCCCATCCCGACTAGGCTGCTTATAGAAGTTTTACCCTTAGTAAGCACTTCTATACCAAAAGTAGACTTGGAGCCAGAGCGTTCAGCTATCAAGCTCCTCTCCTGTGGAACCAGGTTCCAGTTTGGGTTCAGGAGGCAGACACCATCTCCACATTTAAGAGTAGGCTTAAGACTTTCCTCTTTGATAAAGCTTATAGTTAGGGCTGGCTCAGGTGAGGTGAGTCCTGAACCATCCCTTAGTTATGCTGCTATAGGCCTAGACTGCTGGGGGATTTCCTATGATGCACTGAGCTCCTCTCTCCTCTACTTTCTCTCCCTCTGTATGCAACCTCATCCCATTATTGCATGTTACTAACTCAACTACTCCCCTTTCCGGTAGTCTTGTGCTTTCTCGTCCCTCTCCTCTCTCCTCCTATCACTTCCTGCAGGTGTTTCTGGCTCTGGAGCTGTGGAGTCTGGATCTGTGGTTGCGGGTCACCTGCTGCCCCCGTGTTCCTGCTCGACACCCTCTGCTACAACAACTATTGTTACTAATTATTGTTATTATTGTTATTATAATCATTAACATTACGATTATTATCATTAACACTACTACAAATATCTGTACCATTTTTCATTTAGTCTATAGCAACATCACCTTTACTGTCTATACCTCTGTGTGTATACTGTGTAGGCTGCCTACCATCCCTCTCTTTCTGTCTCTCTGCCCCCCCCTCTCTCTCATAACACCCCCCAACCGGTCGAGGCAGATGACCGCCCACCCTGAGCCATGGTTCTGCTCGAGGTTTCTCCCTCTTAAAAGGAAGTTTTTCCTTGCCTCTGTTGCCTAGTGCTTGCTCTTGGCGGGAATTGTTGGGCTTCTGTAAATAACATCACAGAGTATGATCTAGACCTGCTCTTTTATGAAAAGTGCTGTGAGATAACTGTTGTTGTGATTTGGTGCTATATAAATAAAATTGAATTGAAAAATTGAATTGAACTCGATATATATATATACTCGTTACTCTGTGATTCCAGCACATAGCAAACAAGAGTCAAAAGAATAATTTTTTAGCCATGCTAGCCGCAGCGGTCAATCGGTCAGTCCACTTTGGCCAAAATAAAATATCTCAACAACTATTGGCTATTGAGTACAGGTCAAACATCAGCATGTTGTTGTAGGCGTGAACAAGTTTCCATGCTAGTATTACCACTACTGTGTTTTTGATAAGGCTCTCGTGGCAAGCATGGTTGTACACATTTAGTCTTGTTTTACCTGTTATCCAGCAGCAGTTTGTGTCTTCAAAGGTATTTCTGTGATCTTAAAGATTCTTTTTGTCTGCCCTACTCTTTTCTTCCGAACATATAATAACTCCTCTGCGCAGGCCACAGCAGTGTCCCAGCACAGTTTGTGGAAATATTGGATTGAAACGCTGGTAAATATTTTATCAGGGTAAAATTTTCTCTTTCTGGACAAAAATTGACATCTTATAGATCATGAAAATTCCTTTAGAGACGCAGACTGCAGCTGGTTAACATTATGCTTTCACTTTCCCCCTAAAGTTTGCATGGGGAACAGAATCATGGAGCAACATACAGATTTTTACAGAGAGGTCTCTGTAATCCCCACAATATTTTGTTTTTACATTTCAGTTTTTGCATGGATTAAAAGCACAAGAAGTCACATGTTCATTTTTGGTTGGTAGGTGGATTTCTTTGCATTTGGACAGAGCCAGGTTTCCAGTCTTTTACTAAGCTAAGCTAACCATTTCCTGGCTGTAGCTTCATATTTAACAGACAGAACTAAGAGTGATCTCAATCTTTTCATCTAACTCTCAGCAAAAAAGCAAATAAGTAAATTTCTCAAAATGATGAACAATTTCTCCAACTTTCCTTCATCTGACTTTTGGAAAAATGTCATTTTACACAGCAAATTCAATTACAAGAGTTGGGAAAAAATACAAGTTTATATTTCGCTGGTATGTGGGTTGTTCATTTGCAATTCTTTGTGTGTGAATGAAGCACTTTCTCAGTGTAAGATCCAGATTTACATGTTCTTAAACCTGTAACAGTTGAGCCAATATGGACATTTTTATCTGCACTTGATGTGACTGAAGTATCTGACATCATCTTCAAAGGAAGATGTTCTTTTTATATATATTTCAGACACTAAATATTAATGTGAAAGCTGTATGTGTATACATTTTATACAGTTTATGGTATAAATACAATTATGTTACTTTATGTGTTATTATGTAGTAGTAATGAGTCAACTGTTTAGTCAGTCAGTACTGCTGCTATCAACTGATTTCTTCTCATCCTTGTGAACATCTACAAAATCCCCTTCAATCTATTCCTCTTCATGTCCCCTTTTTCATTTTATTCCCCCAACACCATTGGACTGAATGATGTTTTGTTGCCAGGCAACGGACCGTAGAGTTTCTCCTCCTTTGTTGCTCTCTCTCCTCCTGCCTCTCTCCTCCGCGTCTTTGCCCTCTGATCCTTGACCACCTTGACTATTTTGCTCTATTTTGCTCCCCTTGCCGATAGAGGTCTCTGCTTTGCCTAGATGTCCATGTTATAAAGAGTTCTGGCATGGCCGTGTATCTCTGCACACACTGTGATAAGTCCAGATGGCCTGGCATTGTCTAAGGGAGCCAAGCAAAAAGAGGATGACAAGAAAGTTCCTGGGAGAGAAGGACTGAACATGGAAAACTGCTAAATGTTGCTCTCAGTGTAACTGATACACACAGACATAATGAAACTAGGGCTGCAACTAATGATTATTTTCATTAGCGATAAATCTGCAGATTGCTTTCTCGATTAAAGTTCAGTTCATAACATATAGTGAAAACAGTGAGGAAATGTCTATCCCAATTTGTCAGTCCTGGGTGAGGTCTTCAAATGTCTTGTTTTTACCAACAAACTGTTC